GAGGACCTCGGGTAATTAATGTAATTCACTCGAAGGTCAACGAAAACGAAATAAGGGGGGAGACCCAGAGGGTAAAACACTTGCAGCACGTGTACCAGGTCGGGGAAAAATGACATCGGGTTAAGGTGTACCAAGGACCAGCAGTGTCCTTTACTGAAGCCGACCTTGAGATGGTCCAACATCCCCACAATGATGCCTTGGTAGTATCCCTTTAGGTCGGGGAGTGCCAAGTGAAGCGCATCCTAATCGACTAAGGCAACTCTTGTGACATCATGTACGTCAGGTGTTACAAGGAGCTTGGCCTTCACCCAAACGATTTGAAGCAATCTAATGGCCCAATGGTCGGGTTCAATGGAACGCCGACGTGGCCACTGGGAACAACGAGCTTGGAGGTGTGGGCTGGCACCAGGAAGATAAAGATAGAATTCACCGTAATCGACACGTCCTCCCCTTACAATGTTATCCTGGGAAGGCCATGGTTGCATACAATGAGGGCTGTTCCCTCAACATTGCATCAACTATTACGGTTCCCAACAGAGCATGGGATAGAAGAAGTCAGAGGAGATCAGCTGCAGGCAAAGAATTGCTCCATGGCAGCAATGAAATCTACCTGCAGCATATGAGAACCAGAGAGGGCAGAAATCAAAGACGAAGATGTGGAAGTCCTAGAAGACGTCCGCAAGGAGCCAGCCGAGAAAAATAAAGAAGCACTGAAGAAAATCCTCGTCTAGGAGGGGGATGAAGAACGTTTCTTCCTTCTCGGCTCGGGCTTTGCCGAAGAAGAGGAAAAAGAGTTGGAGGCTTTCCTGAGAGCAAACATGGAAGTGTTTGCCTGGACGCCTTACGAAATGCCTGGCATTGACCAGGTCACTTGCCGTAAACTGAACGTTGAAAGGTCGGCCAAACCTGTAATCCAACGAGCAAGAAGACCGACATTGATGCACGTCGAAGCAGTGGAGGAAGAAGTAGACAGACTTCTGGAGGCAAGGGCCATTCGAGAGGTAAACTACCCGACATGGCTATCAAACACAGTAGTAGTGAAAAAAAAGAATGGAAAACGGAGGGTTTGCGTGGACTTTACCAGCCTAAACAAGGCCTGTCCCAAAGACAGTTTTCCTCTACCCAAGATTGACCAGCTGGTGGACGCCACATCAAGGCATGGAAGGATGAGCTTCCTGGATGCGTACAGGGGGTACCACTAGATAGCTATGTACCCCCCAGATGAAGGGAAGACTGCGTTTATCACCCCAAAAGGGCTGTATTGCTACAAAGTGATGCCTTTTGGGTTGAAAAATGCACGAGCAACTTACCAAAGATTGGTAACCAAGATGTTTAGACACCTGATTGGCCGAACGGTGGAAGTTTACATCGACGACATGGTCATGAAGACCAAGGAACCTGAAGGTCATCTGGTCGACCTAAAAGCAGTATTTGAAATCCTTAAGACATATCGGTTCCTACTCAATGCATCAAAGTGTGCATTTGGAGTTAGATCTGGTAAGTTCTTAGGATACTTGGTGACCAGAAGGGGCATTGAGGCCAGCCCAGATCAAATCAAGGCCATCTTGGAGTTGAAGAGCCCGACGTCGGCAAAACAGGTACAAATGCTGATTGGAAGGACCGCAACCCTGAATAGGTTCATAAGCAGAAGCTCAGATAAGTGCAAACCTTTCTTCAACTTAGTGAAGAAAGCCACAGACTTCTTATGGATCGAGGAGTGCAAAGCCGCCTTGGCCGACTTGAAGAAGTATCTGACCACAGCTCCAGTTCTTTCAAATCCAGAACCTGGAAATGAGCTGTTCCTGTACTTCGCAATTTCAGAACATGCGGTAAGTGCAGTGGTAATCCGAGAAGAAAAAGGGGAACAAAGGGCTGTTTACTATGTAAGCAAAACCCTGGCTGATGCAGAGACTACGTATTTACCCCTAGAGAATTTGGTGCTGGCCTTAGTAATGGCTTCAAAGAAACTGAACCATTACTTTTAAGCCCATAAAATTGTGGTGCTCACTGAACATCCATTGAAGTCCCTGCTACAGCAGGGAGACCTGACAGGGAGAATAGCCAGATGGGCAGTGGCCTTGGGCCAGTATGACTTGGAGTTCAGACCTAGAACAGCAATTAAAGGCCAAGTTTTGGCCGACTTCGTGGCTGAGTTCACACCAGAATCCATCATACATTGGGCTCCGCTAAGCCGAGGTGAACGATGTCATAGCAAGCAAGGAGGAGCCCAACTGAAGGCAACGAAACAAAGGAAAGAAGAAAAACTCAGACCCTGTAACATCTACATCAGCGAATCTTTCCGACTATTTGTCGATGGGAGTTTAAACCGACAAGGAGCAGGGGCAGGAGTAGTACTGGTATCTCCAAATGGACAAATATTGGAACAGTCCATTCATCTGGGGTTCAAGGCCTCAAACAATAAAGCAGAGTATGAAGCATTGATTGCAGGATTGAAGCTGGCAGTAGCATCAGAAGCAGATGAGGTAATAGTCTTCTGCGACTCCCAGCTCATAGTCAACCAGACAACAGGCGAGTTTGTAGCCAGAGACGAGAGAATGTCGACCTATGCAAAAGAGGTCAATAGTTTGGTGGCCTTGTTTCAGAATTGCCGACTACATCAGGTTAGCCGAGATTATAACAGTCACGCTGATGCATTGGCCAACCTGGCTAGTACAATACAACCTGGAAAAGCAAGGACAATATTAGTCGACTACTTGTCGGGCCCGAGCATCGAACCACTGACCACTGAACGTGAAGCAATGTGTGTAGACATGGGACCAAGTTGGATGGATGCAATAGTAGCATTCCTGAAAGAAGGAAAATTTCCAGATGATCACAAAGAGGCACACAAGATCAGATTGAAGTCGGCAAGATTCAGTCTGACATCGGAAGGACATCTTACAGAAGATCCTTCACTGGACCCCCTTTGAGGTGTGTACATCCTTCACAAGTTGAAGATTTTTTATATGAAATACATGAAGGAATTTGTGGAAGCTACGCTGGGGGCAGATCACTAGCTCATAGGGCCATCACCCAGGGATATTGGTGGCCCTACATGCAGAAGGATGCAGAGGCCTATGTCAAGAAGTGTGAAAAGTGCCAAAGGTTTGCGCCACTGATACACCAACCAGCAGCAGACCTGAACCTAGTATCCAGTCCTTGGCCGTTTGCTCAATAGGGCATGGATCTCGTTAGGCAACTGCCCCAAGCAACTGGACAGAGGAAGTACCTGCTGGTAGCAGCAGATTACGTCACCAAGTGGACAGAAGCTGAGCCCTTAGCCAAGATCCGAGATGTGGACGTGAAGAACTTCATATGGAGGAACATCATCACCAGATTTGGGATTCCAAGAGCAATAGTTGCCGACAATGGAACACAATTTGACAGTAAGCTAATTAAGAGTTTCTGTGCAAAATTTAAGATCAAAAATTATTTTTCAACCCCAAGCGTTCCTCAAAGCAATGGACAAACAGAAGCATCTAACAAAGTTATTCTGGATGGGATAAAAAAGAGGCTGCAAGTAGCGAAAGAAAAGTGGGTGGATGAACTGCCAAGTGTACTCTAGGCATATCAGACTACGCCGAGAAGATCAACTGGGAAATCCCCATTTGCCATGGCTTATGGCACAGAAGCAGTCATTTCTCTGAAGGTCGGCATCCCAGGGATCAGAACCCAATGAGTAGAGAATGGGACCAATGATGTATTATTAGCCCGAGATCTAGATCTACTAGAAGAAAGAAGGAGAGAGCTGCAATTCAGCTGGCAGCATACCAGCAGCAGCTTGCCAGGGCTTATAATAAGAAGGTTAACCCAAGGGAGTTCCAATCGGCGACCTGGTCTTGAGAAAAGTCGACGGCAACAAAAAGGATCCCAGAGAGGGTAAGCTTGGCCCAAATTGGGAGGGACCCTACAGAATCACTTCGGTATTGGGCAATGAGACATATTGGCTTGAAGATAATGAAGGCAAAGAGTTGCCAAGACCTTGAAATACTTGCAATTTGAAATTTTTCTATCATTAGACTTTTTTGTTCTTTGTTATTTGCCGAAGTAAATAAATAAAGTTTTAGCTTGACTTCTTACAATTATACGATACTTGTCGATGTTCCTGGAATGCATGAATAATGAGAACCCAAGTTGAACTTAAGTGCACATTAGGGGGCAAAGAGTTGGAAAATGGTTCCTGGAAAGATAGAATATACAAGCTAAAATTAGTCTAACACTTGTTGAAATTTGTGAAAAATTTACAAGTTGAAGTTAAACTATGGATACGTCTAACACTTGTTGAAATTTGTAAAAAATTTACAAGTTAAAGTTAGCCGAGATAATGTTTAACACTTGTTGAAATTTGTGAAAAATTTACAAGTTGAAGTTAAACTATGGATACGTCTAACACTTGTTGAAATTTGTGAAAAATTTACAAGTTGAAGTTAAACTAGATAATGTTTAACACTTGTTGAAATTTGAAAAATATTTACAAGTTAAAGTTAAACTGAGGTTATGTTGAAGTAAGACAAAAGTCTTGATAGAAGACAATAAGTGAAAGTGAAGTGGCAAGTTTAGAACAACACATAAAAAATATTTTTACGTGTTAAGCTAAGTGCCGATATAAACAGTCAGATGATATAATCAAGGTACTTTTCCCCGAGGAGATGGCACATTTAAGGTATATTTTTTAAGACATGCACAGTTATTCCAAGTATGGAAGTGGTGAACATACATACAAGGGAAAAAGGTATTCAACACTTAGAAGAAATTATAATTGCATTCAAAGGTCGGCCACGATTTTATACTCTGTGGATAAAACTACACAGATAAAGTGTGTATTGAAGATATGCAAAATATTCTAAGTATGGAATCATACAAGAGCATTAAAGGGAAGACAAATATGCAAACAAAATAAAGAAGTTGTATTTATAAGAAGGCATATCGGCCATGTGAAGAGCTTACATTGTTTAGAAAACCAAAGTGCAAAGTATAGAAGCAAAAGAAAAACATCCAAACTAAGACTCTTCTGCGTCTTGAGGAGGATAGGTCTGGAATTCAGAAGACTGCTGAGAAGACATCTCGGCGGCCTTCTCAGCCGCGAGCTCGGCATCTATCTTTTGAAGGGTTTGATCGAGGCTCTTGTCGGCAAGAGGGACGTTCCATGACGCTTTCTCAAGAGGAACATCCTTGAGAACCTCCTCACCCTCCTCATCTTGAGTCAAGTCCAAGACTTGCTCATTTGGAGTAGGAGACTTGGCCCCAGCATCTTCCTTTGACTTCCTCACCAAAGCCTTCTCCTCAGACTCAGAATCGTCTTCAGATTGGCTTGGAGTTGGGGGGAATGACAGAGGAAGGACGTCGGTATTCCTGAGGGAGGAGTCATCGGGGATTTCAAGCTTTTTTAGCAAACTCATCCAACCAAGGGTGAAACCCTTGTTGCATGCCTGCTTTACCTGTTTCTCATAATCCACCGTGACATCGGCCACCCCCTCATTGTATCCCTTCTGATTGGCGGCCTTGAGCTCAGCGTCATTCGTGGCAAAGGCATCTTGTAGCTCTTTTTGGGCCTCGGCCGTCTTTCCCTCGTCCTCTTTTCTCTGGGCCTCAAGAACCTTCTTTATGGTATCAGCAGCCTTTGCCTTTTCCTCGGCCACGTCTTTGGCTTTGACAGCAGCCTCGGCCTGATCTGCCAGAGTCTTAATTTTTGACTGCAAGTTTTTGTTGGTCTTTTGCAGACCAGTGACCTCCCTAGTCTCAAAAGATTGCATTGAGAAGGAGTGGGCGTACTGGATTACCTGAAGAAAATAGACAAAACAAAAGTTGTTAGAAAAATTTTCTAAGTATAAAGAAGAAAAGAAAGACACCAAGTGTGGAGACTTACTTGAATAGAGCGCTGGAGCATCAGAGCAAAATTTTCATACTCGCTCATCTCGGCGTTTCGGTCGAGATCGCCAGGAAGTAGCAGAGCGGTACTAAGAGCGACGCCGACGTTAAAATCATCGGCACTATCGCCAGCCATCACTAGCTTGTCTTCCAGTGTTATTTGGGGGGCCCAAGGGGAATCTTGCTTTAGTGACCCCGAGGTGGTTGCAGAGGATGACCTCAGCTTTTTTGATCTGGTAGACTCAGAAGGTTGGGCCTCGGCAGACCTCTTCTCGGGGACAGAAGTGGTTTTTTCGCTCGAAGCCAATTTCGAAATTGGCAAGGTATCCTCAGTGTCAATCTGAGTTACCGTTGCCTTTGGTTGAGCCTTCTTGATCATTTTTTTCGGCTTTGGCTGAGATGGTGCAGGTTGAGCATCTACAGTGGATGGAATGTTGGCTAAAAGATCTTTAGCAACTGCCTTCTGGCAGCCCATCTCAGCAGCAAAAACAGTTCGTCACCAGCATTGGCGCTGGGATATTGGGATCAGATATGGAGCCGAAGTTGACAGCTACTCCGCTGGATCAGAAGTAGATCCTTGATCTGTCTGAGATATGGAGGCAGCTTGAGGAGTTGTGGCGGAAGGAAGAGACAGACTCTTCTTCTTCTTCTTTTTCGGAGCGTCGGGAAGAATAGACTTGTACATAGGAATGAAATTGAGTACCAAAGGGGCTCTTCTCTTGTGGACTGGCAGATCCAATAGTTTCCTTAAGTCTTTGCTGGGAAAGAAAGACTGGCGGAAGCCCTTTGGCGGCTGAGGAAGAACTGCAAAAAAGAATAGCGCATACATTAGATCAAAGTATCGGAGACTTTAGAAAACAAGTAAGTGTAAACACTGGGCTCTTACCATTACCCTCTACAAAAATTGTTCGAGGAAGAGGGTAGAGGTGGAGGTCCTCGTTTGGAGCGAACTCCCAGTTCCCCGAGGTAATGAAGTAATCATCCCCAGCTCCCTTGTTGGAGTCTGGGAGGTCGGCCACGATTTTATACTCTGTGGACCTGGCCTTGAGGTAATAGATATAACCTTTCTCTTTCAGTGAAAGGCCACACATAGTATAACAGTACTGGATGTCGGCTAAGGTAACCCTAGTATTCTCTTCCCGGGCTAAGGCTATTATGCCATTGATGACTCGGTAGGAATTGATGGCGAGCTACATCGGGTTCAACTTATAGTAGTGAAGGACTTCTCGAAAAAGGATGTTGAGTGAGAGCCTAAGACCACACTCAATAAAGGCCACAATAGGGAAAGGCATAGAATCAGCTGTGGGCATGATAGAGTCATCCTCCCCAGCCAACCTCAGATGGACGTCAGCCGAGATGTCAAACTCTCGCCTAAAGTGCTCTAATTTGCTCGGGTTGTATACCCTATGCTTCCACATATCCATGATATCGGCTTAGCTAGAGGAGTTGGATTTCAGATGAGAGTGTTTTGGAGGGTTTAACGGACCTCG